ACATCTCCTGCAGCTGAGCAGTTTGGTCTTGGATATCCTTGTCAGTCCTTTCTAGAGCTATCTCTTACTGAAATAAACAGTATGAGAGTAAGGAAACCTGAAAAAGGAACAGTTGTCAAGATGCAATGCATGATATGTGGATGCATGCTTTCAAGGATTTCTTGGGGTAAACACAAGAAAATGTTAGAGGTTGAAATTCGATCTTTGTTTGGAGGAATTTGCACCGGTGGATGTCTTTCCACGAGAATCAAGCTCACCATGTCAGGTGGGTCATAGCCCATGATTCAAGTTGTTGCACTTGATCTTTGATTGGAGAACCTTGCATCGGTGGATGTTTTTCCACGAGAATCAAGCTCACCATGTTAAGTGGGTCATAGCCCCTGATTCAAGTTGTTGTACTTGACCCTTGATGGCATTTGTTAAAGGAGAAACCTCTTGCCCTTTGGTAGACGTCTGGTTCAACGTAACCCAGCATCAAAAGAACCCTCGAGATCCTTGAAATGGTTTATTGAAAATGCTATGGTTTGATTTTATGATGTTGTGTACATGTATGCAAAAACAAGTGAGTGTATATACAGGCAATCATATTCACACAAAGCAAACAAGTCCTTAGGTTTAGGCTTGCATGGGGTTTGTAGGTAAGTACCCTCTTGAAGTTAGTTGGCTCATCCTGTCCTAAAATAGAAACCGGGTTCTAAGGAACTCAATATCATTGGATTGTTTTCTATGTTCATTGTTTCGGTTTAGCCACTTAACTGGCGACCAAAATATTCCAAGAAAACAACCCTCAATGAGTGTAGTATCGAGTATCTACCAACTTCGGACTGCACCAAAGTCGATCATCTCACTACCCCTAAAAAAGGCTAAGATGATCAATTAAGGTTCTAAGAGTTCGTTAGTGCTTCACGACATCACTCAGCGGCCCCGTACTCTCCTTGATTGAACTCAAGGGTTACTGGTACTCACAAATATGTCACACTAACATAGCTTACTGCTTCAACCATGTCGGTATACCCCGCACAGTTCCCTCACAGTTTTTTTGCTATTTACCTAAAAAGGTGCCCCAAATCCGGGTGTAGGATTTACAACAAACCCAAACAAGAACCCAAAAAGTAAAGCAATCAAGGCAATCAAAGAAAGAATGTAAAGGTGATCTAAACCCTAAGGTAACCCCACTTTTGAAGCAACTACCCAGCAGAGTGGCCAGTTCTGTGATACGGTGGGAGAACTGACTTGGGTTTTGCGTTTGTATTCGCACTTGTTCGGTTTAGCAAGAGTCGCCACCGACTTTTTATTTTATCCTAAGGAAAGGTTAAAAAGCACAGGAAAAACCTTTTGAGATGTTTCGTGGGTTCGGGGGGTAGATTATGAAAAGGGAAGGTATTAGCACCCTTTTCATCCATGGTTATCCATGGGCTCTTAGTTACTTGTTTAGATCACTTGCCTTTGATTTTCAATTGCTTGAAATTGTGGTGTGTGTGTGTGTGTTTTGAAAATGGTTTTGAAATAGACGCCTTGTCTTAGGCAACCGTTGTAATGACTCATGTTTGAGTGTTTTACAAAGGTGTGTATCTTTTCGAAAAGATGTTTCAAATGTTTTTGGAAGTTTGTTTTGAAAGTGTTTGTGGAGTGTAGTTTTGAAAAGTAGGCAAGTGTTTTTGCAAGTTTGATCAAGTAACTAAGAGTTGTCTACCCCTAAATTTACTCAAAGGTTTTTCTCATGTTTTAACCCTTTTAACAATTTTGTTCCACCATTGTATTTGGTGGATAATCTTGCGTTTAGGATGTTTAACGGGATGGGCGCGGGTCATCGTATGGACCATGAATGCAATGGTGCCAAGTGTCTTTGGTAATTCGCTTGAAGGGACTATGATCATTTTGATAGGCAACTTTCGAAAGCGTCATCGAGGGTCTATGATCATTTCGATTGTTTTTGTTTTTCCAAAGAAACTTAACGTGCAAGCATGGCCCATTTGGGAAGGCAACAAGCGGGATTACCCTAGGGGTGCAAGTGTGAATGTGTATTGATTTCATGTATTTGTCTTTGTATTAGGTTCTCTAGCGTCTGATTTTATGTACATACAAACCCTAGGTCTAACCATGGTATATTTGAAAAGCGATAAATATCGCGAATTTAAAATCTACGCTATTACAAATAAGTATCCGGGAGTGGGGGTACAAATATTTACAAATGGGGATGAGACTTATTAGGAGAGTAGTATCCAAATATTTACAACCAAATCGAATTGCGATCGCAAATGTAATATGTATCAAATGTACAAGATAAGAAAATGTAAACGTATCAATGTGTTTTGTGTATTGTAAATGTGTAAGTGTATGATTTATTTACAAGTGAAATGTGGGAACTTAATGTATTTATTAAGTAATGTCTATTTATTCCTTTTGTATTTTTGTTAAGTATGTACAAAAGTTTTTAATTGAAAGAAAGTAAAAGTTTTAAGTTTAAAGAAAAGTATCTAACTTTAAAAGATTATTTTTATATACTTTGTTAAGGTTTTATATATAAGAGTTAAGAAGAAATGTTTTAGGAAAAATTAATGTTTTATATATATGTAAAAAAGGGATTTATTAAAAGAGTTTTTTAAGATAAAATATATTAACCTAATTATATATTAATATTTATGTATTTTAATGAATATTCTTATGCCTAAAAATTTTAATTAAAAGAAAAAAATGTTTCAGATTTAAGAAAAATTAATGTTTGTATATTTTCTAAAATGTAACAATTAATAATATTTTGTAAAAAAAGTGTTATTTTATTTAACAAAACAAAAAAAGTATTATATATTAGTTTAAACTAAAAAAAATAAAATGATAAGTAAAATAAATGTTGGTTTATGTGTAAAACAAAGGAAAATGGGCCTAGGGAGGTTTATGGGCCCAACCAAAACGCAATAGGCTGAGACAGGGGGGGGGGGGGGGTGTAGCGGTGAAAATCGGAGATCGAGCTATTAATTAACTCGACTCGCAAAAGCAAGAGTCGCCACCGCGCTTTATTATTTCCAAAGGAAAAGGGAAAAGAGCGAAATAAAACCCTAAAATAGGCAATGTATAATAATACTTAAAAGTAATGAAAATACAATGCATTTTGAAAAGAGATCGAGAGTTCGGGGGTTGGTTATACAATGGGAAGGTATTAGCACCCACTGCATCTGCGGTACTCCGCAGGAACCTTTTGAAATATCTGTTTTTTGGTTTAAAATTGTTTGTTTGATTAAAACGGTTTGTTTGGCTAAAAATCGGTGTTGGAGAGATTTTGAGGATACGACGACCTAGTGTCGAAGTTTTGACTTAGAAGGTGTGAGTTTGAAAATGGAGTCTTTTGGGAAAATTATCTTGAGTTTGGAAAAATAGTAAACAAGCAAAAAATGAATGAGGCTATTCGCACGATTGTAGAAGACGTATTTGATGACATGAAGTCAGCTGAGTTGAAACATTTCCCTTGGAATGAGAAAAATAAAATGAACATATAAATATTCAGAAGTTCACAAGAAAATAAACCTGACAAAAACAAATTAATGATCAAGAGGCACCGAAAAATTAAAATGACAGAAATATACAAATAAAAGGAATATAACTAATTATCTAAAGAAGTTATTCGAACTAAAATTAAAAATTACTTACTAAAATAATTCTAAACTAATTACAAATTCTAAGGTTATAAAAAAAATCTAGTATTATTGAGTTTGATCTAAACTAAACTAAAGCTTTAAAATTTAGTAAGTTGAATCTAGATTAAATTAAAATCCTAAGGTTACTAAATTAAATGTAAAACAAATGAAAATTTCAAAGTTACTAAACTAAATCTAAATCAAATAAAATTCTAAAACTACTAAACTAAATTTAAATCAAATAAAAACTCTAAGGTTATTAAACTAACTAAAAATTATAAACTTATTAAACTAATTCTAAATCAAATAAAAATTATAAATTTATTAAACTAATTTTAAATCAAATAAAAATTCTAAAGTCACTAAACTAAAACTAAACAAATAAAATTCTAAAGATAACTTAAATAAAATCAAATAAAATTCTAAAGTTATTAAACTAAAACTAAACAAATAAAATTCTAAAGTTAACTTAAATAAAATCAAATAAAATTCTAAAGTTTAATAAATTAAAAATAAATTCTAAAATTTACTAAGTCAAATCTAAATGAAATAAAATCTTAAAGTTACTAAAATAAAACTAAACAAAATAAAATTCTAAAGTTTACTAAGTCAAAACTAAAACAAATAAAATTCTAAAGTTTACTAAGTCCAAACTAAAACAAATAAAATTCTAAAATTTACTAAGTCAAAACTAAAACAAATAAAATTCTAAAATTTACTAAGTCAAACCTAAATGAAATAAAATCCTAAAGTTACTAAAATAATTTTAACTTAACTTAAGATTACTAAAATAATTCTAAACTAAATAATATTGTAAAAATTGCTAAATTAATTATAAATTAAATTTAAAATTCTAAAGTTAATTAAATAAACTAAATGAAAATTCTATAATTAGTAACTAAACTAGATACAGATTAAAACTCAAATGATAACCAAATTAAATTAAACTAAATAATAAAGCTAAAAAAAACAAATATTATTATAAGAAATTGAAACTAATTAAAAAAATCTAAATTAATACTAAACTAAATCTAAATATAAGATTTACTAATTTTTTTTTATATATATTTTTTTTAGAGTGTTTAAGAGAGAAAGTAGATTACTGCTACTGCTTTCTTTCTTTTTTTTTGTCTTCTAAAATTTCATAATAAATCATTTTACACGGCAAAAATATCCAAAAGGGTGTATAACAAACATCACCCCCTCTGTGACATAAAAGGAGAATATGACTAATACACACACCTAAGATCAGAGCAGATGTACCAGAAACACAAAATGCCAAAACAATGACTCAATAAAATGAAATCGAAAGGGTCAAGACAAATCCTAGCATACCATTCATACGTGTACATTTGTTAACTAACACTATTAAACACGGCTGTTACCTTGCTGAGCCTTTGACTCATAAAAGAGCTTCACAGAGGAGTAAATAGTAGAGGGTTCGGCCATTGCGCCATTGCCATAATCCCCACAAGCTAACCTCTTTGTAACAGGTGGAATGAGAGAAATACCAAGCTCCTCAATGGAGATGAGATGCTTCTCTGTGAAAGGATTGTTCCACATAAAAGTGTTCATGGCAGGTGCAACAAATAATGGCTTGCAGTAGTCCTAGCTCTCACAATACATGTCAGTAGATTGTCACACAACCCTCCAGCAATCTTGCCAAGAGTGTTTGCCGATAATGGAGCAATGACCATGATATCAGCCCATTTGCGAAGCTCAATGTGAAGCACGCTATCGCCTAGTTTCTTCCAACTAGACAATTCATCATTGTCGGTATACAAAGTCACATCCTTGGGAATCGCTGTTCTGTCAATAAAATGCAAAGATGTATTTGTGGCAACTTCTCTTACTTCAGCCCATTCACAAAAACAATGACAAAGATTTGCAAATTTAACCGCAACAACACTCCCACTAGTAGCAAGTAAAATCCGAGGCTTCCTGGGTGCAGTAGCCACTGACATATTCTCTCCCACTGAACTCACAGGTTCTGAAACCAAAGAAATGGAAAAATTAAAATGAACTTTTAGATCTTTCCTCTAACAAGTAACAGCCAACCTTCAAAATCCCTTGGGTTTCGTTCTTGCTAACTGTTGAAAGGTTTTGTAATAACAAGAAACTTTGAGAACGAAACCCTGAATGTAAATTACAGTTTGATTGGTTTTTTGGATGCAAATTTTATTAGATGGAAGAAGAAGAACCCAAAACGAAGTTGTTGATGTTGGGTTCCATTTTAGTACAGAGGGTAAAGAAGACGAAGCTCGAGTGTGGAGATGAAGGTTGGTTGAGAGGAGGTCGAGGCAGTAACGGAAGTGAATGAGAACTGAGGGGCTGATGCACCGGTGGTTGATGCAAACATTGTGGGAGAACTGGTATGGACATCATGTTATTATATTGAACTGGGACACCCATGCCAGGTGGTGCACCCTCGGGGAGTTCATTTCTTCCACTCGGTTTTATGTCTACAGTAGAAGTTTGTGAAGGAACACTATACTTTTCCTTATTGACAACCTTTGACACATTTGGCACTAGGGTTCTTGGATGCCCCTGATAATTCAAAGCTCCATTTACTGGTGGGATAGATTGTTGAATAGTAGGCTGGCCAACAGTAGATGTGAACAGTGGTTGTGGTTGTGTTGAAGATATGAAGGGTTGTGCAGAATGGATGATGTCTTTAGGTGAATGACAATGATGAATTGAGGGGAGGAAGTTGATGCATGTTGGAGGTGAGTGGCGTTAACAATGGGTTAAGAGGAAGGTGAAGGGCGATTGGGATGTTGTAGAAATTGAAGTTTTTTGAGGAAATAGTTACTGCTTGGGAATAGAAAACAAAGACACATCCATGAAGTTGGGAGAGAGGGGCAGTCAATGAAAAGAGCGCTGGAGAGAGGAAGCTATATTTGCTGTTAGTTGTCCTTTTTTGTGTTTTGTTTCATTGGTAGAGAAAAACATCTCATTCTTGTTCCAAAGAGTAAGCTTTATATAAAAAAATGAAAAAACAGAATTTGATTTCAAAGTTAATCTCAACCGTTCAAAATTATTCAATATGCATTAATCCTCAACTTTTGTCAACAACCAATAAAAATTAAGCAACGTCTAAATGATATATTTTTGTGACCAAAATGTCCTTTAATGATAAAATAACCAAAAAAACTAAATGTATTGCAATTAACTCAATTAAAAATGATTTTTTTCGAATATTTTATGAATAAAAAATAAAGAGCTAAAATGACCGAAAGTGATAAAAAACGGACGAAAATTTATCCGAAAAAAATAAAATGAACACATTAAAATAAACTACATGTCACGAAGATTAAAGAAAAAAAATATTCAAGAAGTCAAAAATCAAAAATAAGATAATAATAAAAATATCAGACTAAACAGACGTTTAAGGTTAAAAACGAGACTTCGAACTGTACCGAAAAAATAAAGCGAGCATACCGTCATAATCTACGCGAAACGCAGATTCATAAAATGATCGATAAAAGGTGAAAACTTGAAATATTTTTCTCGCTATCTTTTCGCACAATATTGAATCGCTTTTAACGGTCTGTCTATAAAACCAAAATATTTTTATTATTGGCATATAAACAACTTGGAGCACTGCAAGAAAATAGTAAACAGATAAAGATGAATGAAGTGAAACGCCGGGTATTTTACAACTGAAAGACGATGCAAACTTTGATTTAAACTGACTTTTCTGATCAACTTAAATACGACTAATGATGCAAAATGTGATGAATGAAGATATTTACTAATGATCCTGACCAAATGACAAAATATGGTATGAATGTGCGACTGAAAAAATTAGGGGCGAAATTAAGGGTGCAACGGTGTGCCTTGATGAATCAGTCTTCGAGAATCCACAATCAACCGTACTTTTGGCTTGGGAGACTCAAAACCTTAATTGATGCGCGACACCTGATGCTCTTGATTCAGACCTGTCTCTGCACATGACACAAAAGAAAACATGAATATACACCTTTGTATGCGATTAGAAATTAGTGATACATATGCTAAAAATGTTCAAAACACTTGACAATCTTCGCATAGTCAAAGCTCGAAGGTGAGACGTTAAAACCGACTGTATTTCGTGACCTTGACTTATCTTTAAAAAATGCAAAAATAAAAATGGGATCTTAGGTCAAAAATTGGGGTACAACAGGGGGTACATGCCAGATTTGCTGGGCTTAGACAGTGAAACGGGGCAAGGCCCAAAACGTTAGAACAATTGTTGTGAGGGTTTCAATTAGGATGTGTTCATTTGGATTCTAGGGTTTCAGACGAGAGCGGTGCCGTTCACTTCGTTTCCATCCTCTTCATCCTCTTTGCCATGGATTCTGAACAGCGTCCTTCTCGCCCAAGGCCAACCAGTGTCGCCTCTACTTCCTCTTCTCCAAGATCAATCAGGCGATGGCTACAATGTTTGGTTTCTTGGTTTTATGTTTTACGCTTTTCTGTTCAATCTTGGTAAAAACTGATTCTTTGTTATGTTATCATTATTGGTATGAGGTATGAAAGAAAAGGAAGAAAGAAGTAAACCTTTGGAGAGGAGAAGAGGTGGACGGTGGCGCTTCCGGTGGCTTGACGGCGAGGGGATGGTGATGATGAAGCTAGCTTGCTGGAACACCTGGTATCTTTATTTTTTGCCTTTTAGGTTTGGTGATGATATTTCTGAAAACCTAGTTTGATATCACTTAATTTCTTCTTCTTATGTTGGCTTCACTTATGCTTATTCTGAGTCGTCTCTGAATATTTGTTTATTGCTGATATGCTTTCAATGATGATTCATCTGAGATGCCTTGTATGCTGATATGCTTTCTTGCTCGTCTTTTCCTCGTCTTTCCCCTGAGATGCTTATTGGTATGCTTCTGAATATAGTTGCTTGCTGGATACACTTTCAGTGATGATTTATCTGAGATGCCTTGAAATGTTTGATATATTTGCCTTTTCCTCTTCTACCTTTTGCTTCAGTTGCCTTGTATGTTTGCAAACTTGTATGCTTGATATACTGATTTCTGATATGTTTCTGAGTATGCTTGTGTCTGTATGCTTGTTGGTATTGAGATATTGATGATATTGATAGCCCAATGATGAGGATGCTCTGAGGGCTTATGTTGGTTTGGAAGCTGGTTTTGGAAAGGGCTTGATGTTTAGAGGGTGGTTAGGCTTTTGACAGGTTGGGCATTTCTGGTTCAAGGTTTGACACAGGTTGGTATGGTTATGTTGTTCAACAGGTTGGCTTATGTTTTTGACAAGTTGATGGCCTTTTGGCTTTCAGGCTTGATTGGAGCAAGTTTAAGGCTTTTAGTATGAGCTTGGACAGTTTGATGTTCTGAGTTGTTCTTGGAATACAGGTTTTGGAGGTTAACTTATGCAGGTTTAGGACACTGGGCTTTTACGCAGTAACTGGTTTGCTGTTTCTTTCTTCTTGGTTAAAGTTAAAGCTCTAGCAGGTTTTGAAGCTTATGGTTTCAAGCTTGTGGAGGCAGGTTTGTATAATTTTGATACAGTTTGTGTTCTTCGCTTTTTGATATTTCTGCCTCCTTTTTCTACTGTTCTATCTCAGTTTTGTTTTATATCCCTCAAGCCTAAAGCTTGTAAGCCCTTTCTTTTCTCCTTTTTCTCTCTCTCTCTTGACAGATTAAAAGCATTTAATATTGCTTATGTTTGTCCTTTTACTGAAAAGGTAGCTGCTGGAAAATGATGTATTTTAACATGCTTGCTTGTACATTAGTTTTTCTCTGCATACTTCTTTTCTCTGTGTACTTTGTTGACAGCATTTTGTACTTTGATATCTTTCCATATCCTTTTGGACAGCTTTTGATATCTTTGGCTTTGGGCAACTCTAGTTGACTTTGGATCTTGTAGTTCAGTTTGGTCATTGTTGGCAATGATTTTGAAACTTTGAAATGTGCAGTTTGTTTGACCATTTTGAAATTGTGCAATATTACAACTTTGTGCATTCATACTTTTTTGCAAGCATTTCTATCCCTCTTTGTGAATCGAGAGAAATCTCGTGATTTGCAGAGAGGGCAAAATGATTCCGGCTAGTTGCTTTTAATGATGAATTCAATTTTTTATCTGTCTGTCTTTTTAATTTTATCTGCTTTTGACTTCTTCTTTTCTTTTTGCAGATAAAAATCAAATGGAGAGGAGTAGCAGTAGAAGATGAAGATTTGAAGACTTAGGAAATTTAGGACATAGTTTTATTTCAATTTTAATTATTTGTAATAATATTAATAAATAACTGTAAATAAATTTAACAGTATTTAAATAATATCTGTAACAAACAATTCAAAGTGAATAAACATCCTTTTTATCAGTTAATTCCTCTTTCAAATTACTGTCCATTTAATTATTTGAATTTCTTAAATTAAAATAACTGGAAGTATCCAATTATTCTGACTTAGAAAAATAATTAACAAACATTGTGGTCTTACCATTGAATCAATAATAAACCTGGCGCTTCGATTAAATAATGCACAGTTAATCAAACCAATATCCAGATACTTATCTTTTTACTGATTAAATCAGACACTGCAGATTCTCAATATAAGTACCTCAGCTTTTATCTCATCTCAAATCAAACGCTTTAGCCTTTACTGATTACACAAAATACTGCAAGTTCTTGATTCAAATGCCTCAATCCAAATCTCAGAGTAAACTGAAAAGAACTGTAGGATTAATTATTTCTGAGAAATATGCGCACAAACCCTAGTTCTTGGTTAAATGTCAAAGAAATGCTCGCCTGATCAAAACCTGAGCCAAACTCAACCAAACCTTAGCAATCTTCCTGAACTGCTTTAAAAATCAAAGAAAACCCTAGATTTTGTCTGACTGACGAGAAAAGTATGTTTGACCGATTCTTGAGCCAGTCTGAAAAAATCAGGAAAAGCCCGAAGCTGTTATTTCTTGTGGAAAAATACGAGGGCAAATTTTGGGGTACAACACCTACTATCTAGGCTTTCATATCGAAGTAACCCTACTATCCAGGTCCCTTATCACAGCCCTACTATCCAGTCTTTCGTATTGAAGTAACCCTACTAAACAAGTTCCTTCTCACAGCCCTACTATCCAGGATTTCATATCGAAGTAACCCTACCATCCAGGTTCCTTATTACAGCCCTACTATCCAGGCTTTCATATCGAAGTAACCCTACCATCCAGGTTCCTTCTCACAACCCTACTATCCCAGATTTCATATCGAAGTAACCCTACTATCCAGATTCCTTCTTACAGCCCTACTATCCAGGATTTCGTATCGAAGTAACCCTACTAAACAGGTTCCTTCTCACAGACCTACCATCTAGGCTTTCATATCGAAGTAACCCTACTATCCAGGTTCCTTCTCATAACCTTACTATCCTGGTTCTTCCTCTCTTATCCCCATACAACACTCCACAACACTGTAAGACCGGGACTCAATCAAACATAATTGATTTCATGTTTCCTCAGAAAGTCGTGGTGCAACATATACCCTGAACAAACATGAAGTTCACTTCCGCTCCCCAAATAGGAGTTATTTCCCCAGTAGAGTAACGAACAATTGAAGCTCCTAAAACTCTATTTCTCTCAAGACAGAGACCAGCATTCCCCAGTGAAGTCCTCCTCAACGACAGTTATACGGGTTCTCGTAAATGTTTTTGATTGAGCTTCCAACGTGCTTGCTAATGAAATCGGTGTTGTAATTATCTCTCTTATGGGTTTCCATATGCCCTTCACCGCCAGGTTATGTTTTGATTGTACCAACAACATGGCCGAGTACGAAGCATGTATCATGGGTATCAAAGCTACCATCAATATGAGAATTTAATTCTTGAATGTATACGGGGACCCATCCCTAGTGATCAGTCAAATTTAAGGAGAGTGAGATACGAAGCATCCAAATCGCATTCATTATCGAGAGCATGTGTTGACATTAATTTCGTACTTCTAGGTAATCAATTTTGAAGATATTCCACGGTAAGAGAATCAATTTGAAGACGCATTAGCAACCATTTCATCTATGTTGAAAATTAGATGAATAACGAAGCTCTTCAAATTACTATTGAGAGACTAGACAAACTGGCGCATTACTACGAAGTTGATACTGATAGAGTAGAGGAAAAACCTTCATACCACAAAGTAAAAAGATACCTTGAACTCGAGAATATCCAAAAGAACATCTATCAATGATAAGAAATTTCTAAGGAGGTTCTCTGCCATGTTCTTTATTAGTAACAGAATCCTGTGCAAACGCAACCACGATTCAACTTTGCTTCGTTATGTAGACAAGAAAGCTGAGAAAATTATGGAAGATATGCATGAAGGAGTCTTTGGTACTCACTCTAGTGGGCATACAATGGAAAAGAAGATTCTGAGAGCGGCTTATCATTGTTCTACTATGGAAACTGATTTCCATCATCGTTCAAGAACTTTTCATAAATGCCAGATTTATGCTGACA